CTTATAAAAAAGGTGGACTTCATTTCAAATGAAATAAAAAAAACCTGGCTGAACTATCACAGTCAGTTTATACGGCTTACCAGAAACATAAGCTGTATAAAACTAGCCTTTGGTCCGTTATGGTGTCGTTAAAAACAGATAAGATACTAATTATTGCTAAATAATTATATTAAAACATTAAGGCATGACACACCCCTGCTTTATAACGGTCAATGTTTCAGGATTTATGGCTCTGTAATGATCTCTTACCAGAAGACAAACAAGGAAACACAATCTTGAATCCTTAGAAAAGGATGCACCAACATGTGAGAGCCACACAAAGAGAGAACAGCCACAGGAGGGAACAGTAGGGACACTGCTATCTGCTGAATTTAAAGCTTACTGGACACTTTCTGGAGTTAAAGTGTGACGGACTCATTATTGTGAGAAACCGTCTGTTTGCAGAGGAGAGAAAATGGCTTCTCGTCCAGAGGACAATCTCCTATGTCCAATCTGCCATGCGGTCTTCACACACCCCGTCATCCTGTCATGCAGCCACAGTTTCTGCAGAGCCTGCTGGCAGCGATGGTGGACATTAAGGTCGAATCGCAGGTGTCCAGTCTGTAACGCAACATCTCAACAATACGACCCACCTTGTAACCTCGCTCTGAAGAACTTGTGTGAAGCTTCTCCACCTGAGAAACACTCTGCTGTGTTTTGCAGTTTGCACTCTGAGGAGCTCAAACTCTTCTGTGAGGACCATCAGACTCCAGTGTGTGTGATCTGTCTGCATTCAAGCTCCCACAACAACCACAGCTTCAGACCAATCAATGAAGTCGCTCTGGGTTACAGAGAGGGACTCCGGATACTCCTGGAGCCTTTAAAGGAAACACTGGATCTCTTCAAGGACATGAAATCAAACCTTGATCAGTCCAACAAGGACATCGAAGACCAGGCTAAAGACGCAGAGACTCAGATCAATAAGGAGTTCTCCATGCTTCAGGAGTTACTCAAAAAAGAACAGAAAGCAAGAACAGGTGCCGTGATGAAGGAGAAGAAGCAGAAGAGTCTGGTCCTGAAGTGGAAGATGGAGGATCTGAGCAGAGACATAGAAGCTCTTTCAGACAAAGTCAGAGCCACAGAGGAAGTGCTGAAAGCTGGAAATATCTCCTTCCTGCAGAACTACACGACTGCAGCTGACGGAGTCGATGGTTTCCAGCTGAAAGATCCACAGCCGATCAAAGATGGTCTGATAGATACGTTCAAACACCTGGACAACCTGCCCCTCCAGGTGTTGGACAGCATGAAGAAAGCCATCACACGTTCAAGATCAGGGCCGCCCCTGGCAGTGGCGATCCTGCCCCAAATGGACATAGACATAGAGACTAGACTATAGACGTAGGCGTAGACTCCATTGTTTGGGACATATACCCATTCACTGGGGGCCCCTCGAACCAGCTTTTCATCACCACGCACAACCGGCAGCAGCCCCCCCTGACAACCTGCCCCTTGAGGGGATGGACAGGATGAAGAAAAATAAATCACGTCCAAGATACCTGCACCAAAAATACTGATTCTGAACCGCCTGAAATGTTGAGAGAGTCTGCCGTAGAAGTCAGGGCAAGCTACCGAAATCTATTAAGTATATTTTGTGCTTATCATAGTAGGCCTTTCTTTGTAAACATTGTAAATAGGATATTGTTATCATGAGTATTATAGACCTGAAGACTAAAGCTGACGTGCTAAACATGTAGAGGTTTTATTAGAACCAGAAAATATCTTTGTAAAGTCAAAAAGGCTTTTCTGTTCGAACCAAAACAAAAGTAGTTAGGAGTCTTAAAGAAGATATAAAATGCTATTTAAGCCACTGGTGGACTTTGATTACCACTTTCTTGTTATAGAAAGAATGATAAAATGACCTATAGAGCCTCATGCTGTCAAATGTGTTCAAACTGTGTTAATGTTCAAATAAAGAGTATTTTAGTAAATCAGTGAAAAAGTACGTATTTATGAAATTACTTAAATAAGGGCTGAACATGACGTTTTAATGCTTTGGAATGACAGCATACCTGCAGTGCTAACAACATCCCATCAGCGCCAGATGTAATGTTTTTGGTTAATGCTAATAAGCTAATGTCCTCATGCTAACACACTAAGATAAGATTGTAAACATGGTGTACTTATGGTGATGTTTTGGTTGAGGTTTCAGCATTGTGTGTTATTCACTGTGTGCGCCGTAGGGTGAATACAGCAAAGCATTGTTTGTTAAGGCAAAAATAAATGGATTGTATTATTCCACACCTGAATACAAGCCTATGATCCATCATTGAACGCAACAACAAACGGTATCTGGAAATACAGTAAAGCGTGTCAGCCAACTCAGTGAAACCACATGGAGGATTTCATGTTGGGCTAAAGCTCCTACACATGGTACACGTGTTAAACATCAGCATGTTAGCACTGTCACTTAGCATGTAGTCATATGGACAAGCCTGACACCGTTAGCATGGCTGTGGACATTGAGAGGGAAATGCAAAATGCAAAAGAAATTCTTCACTTTATGCAAAATACAAAAACAAATACAGAAAAATCTAAATAAAGAAGACACACAGTACCTCTCCATCTGTCCCGGTGTTTAAAGACATGATTATTCAATAGTTTAAAAGATGGATTGATCCAGATTGTTCTATATGTGGAGACAGAGGTACAAAAATGTGATCGGATGGCACAAAACAAACCCTCCCTTTTTTCTGTTTCCCTTTCTCTCTCACGCTGCTCCCTCTTTCTCTCAGACATGCCTGACACAGCATGGCACTGCACACACACTGTTATGAGTGTGTGTGTGTGTGTGTGTGTGTGTGTGTGTGTGTGTGTGTGTGTGTGTGTGTGTGTGTGTGTGTGTGTGTGTGTGTGTGTGTGTGTGTGTGGTGCCTCCCCTTCATCTCATCGCCGTAGCTTCAAATCCTTTTAAGCAGCGGCCGACGCAGACAAATAAAATGTTTTATTCATTCTCTCTTTTCTCTCTGAATAAAATATGCATCCAGCGTTTCAGCCCGTCTGCAGATTTCAGCGTGAACTTTAAAACTAACTAACATAATAAAAAGTGTTTCACGGGAAAAATAAGATAATATATATTATGTTTTATTCCCTGAAAGTTAACCTATCATGCAAAATGCACTTTTGTACGTCTTCTCTACATGAACATGTGTCCCCGGTGTTCCAGGGAACTCACCAAGTGTCAGAAAACACAACCCTCTCTATTTTCCTCCATACCCAAATCTCTAAAAAAGGGGCTGCAACGGATCTGATACAGACTGATCCAGATTTGAACACTTCTATGACGTCACAGAAGTGGTGCTACGGCTATTGGGCCAACTCCACCAATCAGGAGGAGACAGCCACGGACATTGCCGTTGGAAAGCGCTGGAGACGCTGTAGTACATATGCCAGGCCTGTAGATGGTGCTGTTCTCACAGAATCAGCCCATGATGCAAACATAGTGTTCAATTGAGCGAAATGAGGAATGGCTAAAATGCATGATCTGTTTGGTATTTTGAAAAATAAAAAGTATAAATATGCCTTATATAGGTATGGTCCTACACTATATTATTCAATATAGCATGATAGGTCCCCTTTAAGATTAACATCAATCGTGGAAAAAGTGCAGCTGAGAAGTAGGCCTGAAGTGTAAGTCAATTAAAAGAAGCGATGTAATAAGATGTGGTGCTAATATACAAAATAAATAGACGTTACTTCTTCTGAGGAAAACAGAACATTAATTAGATGTTTTATGGCTTTTCTGAGTAATAATACAAATAATTTAATAAAATGAATTAAATAGTAGAATTTATTACATTTAAATATTAAAGTTGGCGATGATCAATTCCATAACTTTGCACTGTTAGAATTAAAAAGATAAAGACATGAAGGAAAAATATAATTTTATTTAATTACGTTTTTAAATAAAACATGTCTTTTGAATAAATACAAAATCCTTAAATATTACAATTGTAATGGAATCAAATTGAATAAATCCGACGTAATTTGTGTTTGATCTGGTAAAAATAAAGACTTTTATTTTATAAAAGGTGGTCGTTGTTACTGATTTAAAAAAAGGAACAACTTTACTGTCAGCATCTCACAGACCTAAGGATATAAAAAGTCTCTCTATAATTCATTATGAAGTTTCACAACCTGCCTCTCAGGTCCTCTGCACCCCGCCTCCCTCCCGCCTGAATGTTGAGTCTCTCACCATTTTCAAATCCCATCTCTTCACACTGGTATATCCCCCCTGATCACAT